GGTATACATGGAGTCACAATAAAAAACTGAGATGCTTAAAGCTGAATAAATGTAATACTCTAATATGGTTTGATTGTGTCCCTACCCAAATCTCAACTTGAATTGTATCTCCCAGAATTCCCATGTGTTTTGAAAGGGACCCAGGGGAAGATAATTGAATCATGGGGGCTGGTCTTTCCTGTGCTATTCTTGTTATAGTGAATAAGTCTCACAAGATTTGATGGGTTTATCAGGGGGTTCTCCTTTTGCTGCTTCCTCGTTTTTCTCCTGCCAAGACCATGTAAGAAGCACCTTTCTGGCCAGGTGTGGTGGCTCATGCCTGTAATCCCAGCACTTTGAGAGGTTGAGGCAGGTGGATCACCTGAGGTCAGGAATTTGAGAACAGCCTGATCAATATGGTGACACCCAGTCTCTACTAAAAATACAAAAATTAGCTGGACATGGTGGCAGGGACCTGTAATCCCGCTACTCAGGAGGCTGAGGCAAGAGAATTGCTTAAACCCAGGAGGCAGAGGTTGCAGTGAGGTGCGATTGTGCTACTGCATTCCAGCCTGGGCAACAGAGTGAGACTCCGTATTAAAAAAAAAAAAGAAATGAAAAATAGTATCTTTCCCCACCCCTCAGCCATGATTCTGAGGCCTCCCTGGCCATGTGGAACTGTAAGTCCAATTAAGCCTCTTTTTTGTTTCCAGTTTTGGGTATGTCTTTACCAGCAGCATGAAAACAAACTAATATAACTGTTTCTCCAAAAAAGTGGGTATAGCATGAATAAAACCTTTATTTGTATTCTCTGTTTACATTTCTAGCATATTATTGTACAGGAATAATTTTTTTACATATTAGAAAATGTAATTGATATCCTTCAATATTATCAAATATGGAAGGAGAAAAGACAGTTGATTTTTACTTTAAGAGAGTTTACAATTAAAAGTAGGCATAAGAAAAAAATTTCTGCACAGTACTTGCATTAAATTTTTTTCCATTTGTATTCACTGTTTACTATTGCTAGGTGCTTTATAGCTTTTACCATCTCAGACAAAAAACATATTATTTCTTATTTAGAGAGTAAAATTGTATTTCATTTGATAAACAGTAAGATAATATCAGACCAGTATTTTGATTTTACTTGGTTTTTGCTTGACTGGTTAAAATTTTTAAAAACCTGAGATGCTTAAAGTCAAATCGTTCAAATTAGCTTCAAACTTTTCTCAGAAGCAACTGTAGTAAGAGTTAGTGAGTGTGACAAATCCCACTTAGTCTTTAAAAATCAAATTAATTAAAATGTAATTAAGAGCTAATGTAGGCCTCTTTGACGAAATTCACCACAAAATCCATGAATGACATGACTTGGTTATATTTTATTTGTACCTGAAATGGTCACTACAGTTTAACCTCAAGGGGCCATGATTGTGTGTATTCCAAGTGCCATCTTGGCAGGTTCAAATATAAATTTCACGTTCACTTAAATAAAACTCTACTATATCTCATGCAAGAAAAAATATTGTTTGTATAATAAATGCTTTTTACTAAAAATACTAGTCTGTGGTGATGAAACAATAGGACATTTAATGAAGATGGAGATTTACTGAAGATGAATGAAACTGAGAAATGGAATTGAGTATATGGCCCAGTAAATAATTCTGGCCAAGTTATATACTTTAAAAGATGATTGAATGAGCATAATCTTGGAAGCCTTTAATGAAACCTCAGAAGTCTGAATGGGAACATATTTCTTTCAAAATACTCGCACAATTTTGCTATGGACCATTGTGACAAATCAATTAGGAGAATCGGTATAAGTCTATATGATCACGGATGAGAGAAAAATGAATTAGCAAAAGCGGGTAAATGTTTAAGGAATAATGAGTTGTCATTACTACAAAAAAAAGACCTTAAGAATTCTAAAAGTACAAATGTAAAGTGCTTTACGTTTGGAATGGATAACAGAGAAGAAGGATGTGAACAAAATGACTTGTTCTTGGTCTGTCTGTAGCCCTCTATCTCAACTACATCATCCTAGACCAAGCCACCACATTTCCTGCCTGGACTACTATACATTAGCCTCCTAATTGGTCTCTGCTTCCACTCTCAGTCTGCAATAATCTATTTTCATAGCAGCCAGAGTAATCTTTTAAATAAATCAGACTATGTCACTCCTGTGCTTGAAAACCTTAAGTGGCTTCCAGTGCAATAAAATCTAACTTCCCTCAGTGGCTCACAAAGCTCTCTGTGACCTGGTCTCCAGCTATCTCACTGACCCCATACTCACCACCACTGTTCTTCTGACTCAGTGTTCTCTAACTACCCAGGCTTTCTTTCTGTTCCTCAAACATGCCTGTCATGGAGCTACGGCATTGGCTATTTCTTTCTCTTTTTATTCTCTTTTCCTGGCTTCTTGTCATTCAGTCTCATCTGAAATATTACCTCCTTTGAGAGATCATCCCTGATCACCCAGTCAAGTTGCCACCTAGTCGTTCTCCATTTAAACCCCCTCTTTTTACTCTGCGAAGTACTGGTCCCAATAGGATATATTTATTTACTTGTTTATTTGTTTATTAACTATCTCCTCCAACCAGAATGTAGGCATGAGAGTAAAAACTTCGCATTTTTGCAGCTCATTAAACAGTGCCTCATTTATAAGAGATTCAAATAAATATTTAATGTTCAATAAATGTATATTTTTAGGATAGAATGTAATTTTAGATAAAGATACTAAAATATGGTATATCTAATAAAAAATAGCAGGCTATAAAAGATAGAGATTGTTGTATTCTCAGGACTGTTGGAGGACAAATCCTGTACCTTTTCCCCCCTTTTCTATGTAGCTTCTTCTTTTCACGAGTATCACAAATAATTCAAAGTCTCATGTTATATCCAACGTTTCTGTCTGTGCAAATAGTAATCTAATATTGAATAATCTAAAACCACTATTACTGATGATCATTTTTCCAAGAACATTTGAAGCTCACTTCAAATACACATTTGCAGACATCATAGTGTAAAGCTTTCTAACAATATGAACTGTCTTTTCCAAAGGATAGCAATGAAAATTTATATAACTCAGAATATCTGATGTTGGCAGATACAAACCTGGTAGAGTAAAAAGGAAAATAATTCTATGTTTCCTGTAAATGTGGTTGTGGGAAATCCACTGAAGCTATTTTAGCCTCATATTTTCATCTAAAAATATTTTTATTGATACTTGCCTTGAAGGTTTTTTTTTTTCTGAGTATTAGGGATAAAATGTGATAAGGGCTTAGGGCACAGTAGGCACTTCAAAGATGGAGTCTCTTAACATTTTTTCTTCAATTTTCTTGAAAATATATAGCAAAACCTGAATTAGTATTCTTTGTTACAAAGTGGGATTTAGAAAAAGGCAGGAGAATCTTAGACATATTTTATTTCCACTTTAAAATTTTTTTTAGCTCTTGAAGTTTTATTTTTAATGGAGAAATAATAATTTTATATATTTATGGATTATAATGTAATGTTTCAATACATGTACACATTGTGGAATGATCAAATCAGGCTAATTACAAAATTTTTTACCACGAATACTTATTGTTTCTTTGTGGTGACAATATTTACAATTCATTCCCTTAGCTATTTTGAAATATGCAATACAGTATTATTAACTATAATCACCAAGTCGTATAATAGATCATCTTAAACTACCTTCTATCTAACTGAAGCTCTGTACCCTTTGACTAACACCTTTTCCCTTTTCTTTGTCTACCCTCCTCCCAGCCTCTGGAAACCAGATTCTACTCTCTACTTCTGTGAGTTCAAGTTTTTCTGATTCCACACATAGGTGAGATAATGTGGTATTTGTTTGTCCATACCTGGCTTATTTCACTTAGCGTGATGTTCTCTAGGTCCATCCATGCTGACAAAAATGACAAAATTTTCTGTTTTTTAGACTAAGTATTAAACGGCATTCTAGCACGTGCGTGTGTGTGTGTGTGTGTGTGTGAGTGTGTGTGTGTAGGTAGATATAGATATCTATCACATACTTATCACATTTAAAAAATCAATTCATCCATTGATAGCACTTCAGTTGTTTTCATATCTTGGCTATTGTAATAATGCTGTACTGAACATGAGAGTGCAAACATCTCTTTGACATACTGATTTCAATTCCTTTGAATATCTCCCTAGAGGAAGAATTGCTGGATAATATGGTGATTCTATTTGTGGTTTTTGGAGGAACCTCCATATTGTTTGTCCAATTGGCTGCAGCAATTTATATTTCCACCAACAGTGTACAAGGTTTCTCATTTCTCCACATCCTCACTAGCATTTGTTAGCTTTCATCTTTTTGGTAATAGCCAATTTAAAAGGTATAAGGTGATATCTCATTGTGGTTTTAATTTGCATTTCTCTGATGATTAGAGATGTTGAGCATTTTTTCATAAAGCTATGGGCCATTTGTATGTTAGACATACTTTAAAGGAGCATCCACAGAGAACTTCAGAATCTCTTAGAGCATGAACAGTGGCAGGTCTCAACTTCATTCTTTTCAGGGGAGCATTTTTCCAATAAATTGTATCTCAGTATTCTAACAGAGATCTTCTCACAGTCAGCACTATAAGGCTGTGCAGTTAATACACTGTGTAAAGGCAACTGGCCAAGAGGGTGAGTGAGGTCTGGAATCCAGCTCACACTCTTCTCCTTAGGAACTGGGTTTGTACAGAGGCTGCATTTTCTTAATTTGTATAAAAGCATCCCAGAGCCTGTACTTGCCCCTTCCAAAGTACGTCATTTTCCAAATTATCTTACATTTGTGGAGAATATAGCTGAATGGCACGTAAATTATCTTGTTTATACATTTTTAGATCACAGACTTTTATTTGATTTTGTTTGGATTATTTAAATCTAATAATTTAGTTTCAGCTAAGAAAATATATTTTAGAATTTATACACACACACACACACACACACACACACACATAAATGTATATATTTATATGACTCCTTGTATATAGTAAGTCACTTCTCACCTATGACATGTGGTTTTGTTGTGTTTGTTGCTGCTGCTGCTGTTGCTGCTGCTGAATTAGCAGTTGCTGCTGCTGCCGACGCCTGGCTGTTCGTAGCTTCTCAAAGCGAGCCTCCATTTCTTCCAGAACTTTGGGGGTGTATCGCACCACTAGCTTGACGCTGTCTTTAGCAGCCTTGAGTAGTTCCACAGCTTTCTCATGGTGTTCTCCTTCCACACTCTGAAAAGACAATGACACTTCTTAAAGGGAAGAGCTTCAATGTTCCTTTTCCCGAGAGACAAATTTGAAATTAGCATCGTATTAAGAACCTAAAGTTAAAAATTTTAAGAAGGCATGGTAAATGAGTTATCTTGCCATCATCATTAGTATTTGTTACACTGTGGCTAAACTATAAACAGGTTAGGCTGCACTAGGTCACAGAATGGACTGCATGGGGATTCAGGTCAGGAGGGAGAAAAACAATGAAAACCTACATTATAATGCTAACATTAGGAACGAAAATTTCCAAATTTCATCTGAAAGAAAATTCACTAGTCAACAAAATTGTGAAAAAAATTAAAACATAGTAACAAAGGGGAAATTTATCTATCAGATATTAAAATTTATTAAGAATCTATACTGATTAAAATGCTATCTTATTATGGATATAAAATATATAGTAGAACACAGCACAGAATCCAGGAGAGTCATCACATGGAAAGCTTTATTTATTATAAATGTGGACTTTAGACCAAAGGAGAAAAGGACTATCTACTAAATTTAATAATAATTAAATAATACAAAATAATGGAGACCTCATCTCATACACTATACTAAATATAACAGATTAATTAAAAATTTAAATGCAAAATAAAAACATAAAACAACTAAAATGAAAGAAAGGTGAACATTCATCATTTTTCAATAGAAAAGGAATTCTTAAGTAAAAATACCATGGGAAAAATAACCACAAAATCAGATGTGCAAAACATAAATTTCTATGTCTCCAACACTGTAAAAAGGGCAAATAAACCAGAAAAATGCTTTCAGTACATGACTGTCATACACTTAGTGCAAAAGGGATTTTTTCTGGTTTATTTGCCCTTCCTCCTTCTCCTCCTCCTCCTCTTCCTTCTTTTTCTTCTTCTTCTCTCTCTCTCTTTTTTTTTTTTTTTTTTTTTTTTTTTTTTTTTTTTTTTTTTTTTTTTTTTGGGCACAGAATTTTGCTCTTGTTGCCCAGGTTGGAGTACAATGGCATGATCTTGGCTTACTGCGACCTCCGCCTCCTAGATTCAGGCAATTCTCCTGCCTCAGACTCCCAAGTAGCTGCGATTACAGGCGTGCAACACCACACCTGGCTAATTTTGTATTTTTAGTAGAGATGGGGTTTCACCATGTTGGCCAAGCTGGTCTCAAACTTCTGACCTCAAGTGATCCACCCACCTCAGCCTCTCAAAGTGCTGAGAGTACAGGCGTGAGCCACTGCACCTGTCCTGCCCCCTTCATTCTTCTGACAAGTCAATAAAGATCTAAGCACAATGAGCAGTTGACATGCATGGACAAAAAATAAAAAATATAAATGGCTGATAAACCTCAGAAAAGATGTTCAGGCTCCCTAGTAATCACAGAAGTATAGACCAACACAAAATATTTTATTTTTAACTAAAAGTGATAAATATGTATTTTTAAATTTGGTGTACAGACAAGGATGTAGGAAAATTGGACTCAGACTGCTAATAGTTTAACAAAAACTGGTGAAACTTTTCTGGAGGGCATATTGTTATGCATTGAATAAGCCCTTATTAAAGTGAATAATTTTATATTCCAAGAAATGTATTAAGGATATGATAAAATATGCACATACTTATAAGATAGATATGATAGAAAGCAAAAAATAAATCAATTCTTGGCTCTTGAGTTTCAAAATAGTCTTTTGAACATCAGGGTGTAGACAATACTTGGAGAAACTGTTTCCTCTAGGTAAACACAAAGCTGCTTTTTCTGTCCTCTGAAGATTGTCCAGATTGGGATGAGGGAGAAGCAAAAAAGAAGAAAGTTGTAATTAGACTCTATAGGATCCTAAATAAGGAGACCCTGGCTCCTGCCCCTCTAAATTGGTCACCAGGGCAGATGACAGAGTCCTTCATTTATAGGACTGAACGGCCAAGGCCTTTTTTGCTTTGATTCTTGAGTAAAGTATAGAGAAAAAAAAAAAAAAATCCCTGTGCAGTATGATAGATGGAGGCTGAGATAAGTTTAAAGACTGTAAGAACACCTAAGAGTCACACTGAAGATGCAGAGAAGGCCACCCTCAATTGCTTGACACTACATTCACAATCCAAGCAGAAGGGAAACTCAAAATGAATATTAAATTGAGTTACAGAAAAATAAAGGCGGTGAAATCTTAAGCACACTTGAATTATATCTTTAGATTCACAATTTCGACTGCAGATTTGGAGACTTAAGAGATCATTTGATTATTAGCTTAGTTACTCAACTAAGATGTTTATTAAGCATTTATTCTATGAATTACAGTCTCCTACATTTCTTGAGAAAACATGAAAAAAAGGTAAACTTTGATGGCATTGTACAATATAAACCCTATTTCCAGTATGTTTGTAATTTCTTTATAACTGATCCCACGATGATTTGTTAATACATAGAATTTTCCTTTGAAAAGAAAACCTGGTCATTTGGTTGTCTATACACCCTTCTCTAATTTCTTTTTAATATTAAAATTCACATGTTTGTGTGTTTTAATAATAGCCAGGTATGGTGGGTCACACCTGTAATCCCAGCACTTTGGGAGGCTGAGACGGGTAAATCACCGGAGGTGCGGAGTTCAAGACCAGCCTGACCAACATTGAGAAACCCTGTTTCTACTACAAATACAAAATTAGCTGGGCATGGTGGCCCATGCCTGTAATCCCATGTACTTGAGAGGTTGAGGCAGGAGAATTGCTTGAATCCAGGAGGCAGGGGTTGCACTGAACCGAGATCATGCCATTGCACTCCAACTTGGGCAACAAGAGCAAAACTCCATCTCAAAATAATAATAGTAATACTAAAAATAATGGTTCACCCATTTTCTAGGCCAGATGATAGACTTCTTTGTGGCGTTTGCTCTATTTGCTATTATTTAATAGGCTTGGAGATTCTAGGCCCGACCTTTAGAGGCCCATTATGTCTGTTTTGGCACTGTGTCTACAATTCAGTTGCCACAGGAGGACTGTGGTACTAACTGTGTGGGAAATTAGGCTCTCACCACGGTGGGGAAAAGTTGAGAAAAATATGTCTGGCTGGTGCACCACATACCAGGCCCTGCAAAACCACCAAGATTATCCTCTTCCAGTCCCTGGTCTGCCCTCTCCCACACAGCTAACAATGTCTCAAAAGCAGGCTCCACAGTTTTCAATTCCAGAAATTTTGCCTTCATGCTTTATTTTCAGTTTAGACAATGATTCAGATTCTCTTTAAGGCTCAACAGAATCAACAGGTCTCTTGGTTTGACTCTACTGTCTTTCCCACCAAGACACAGAGCCATTATGAGCGATCTGGGCAGTGTCACAGTTCCTCATTTGTACTACTGAAATGCTTTGCTAAAATCCTGCAAATTATATAATTAGGCAGCTAAGAAGAAGTTTTAGAAAGAGATTAAGAAATATAAGCATGCTTGTAAAATTTATTATTTCAAACACTCCTCAACTTTGCTTTTTAATTATTTTCAGAAGAATATCTTAATTCTTGCTTGTAGGATTGTTTTTGTAGCCTTCTTTCCCACTGGTTTTGCCTACTTTGTGAATACTTTTGAGTACATATACTTGTCTCCTTAACCTATTATTTATCTCTGGAATGCCTTCAGTCCTTCAGCATAACTTTGTAATAAGAATAAGGCAGTTTTCCCTTCTTTCTACTTTCCCTTTTAAGGTAAGAACAAGAAATCAGACCATCTTGCCACAAAAGTCTTGTTCTGTGAATAAAAAGAAGTCAAAAGATCTGCTCAGTTAGGGTATAAATGTTGATGTGTGAGCACTTCATAGGTATCCCTTGAGCCCTGAAGGGTCAGTGTCTATTCTTGCTTTTGATTTAGTCTATTTCTCACTCTCAATGAAGGTATGCATCATACCTAGCTAAATATTTAAGACACATTTTGAAATGTTATAGATTGTTTGTAAGTAGTTAAGCTATTTTTATCAAAGCTGTATATAAGCACTCCTGATTCAGAGTTGTCTTTTATAAGAACTAGTGTAAGTTTGAGCAATCACTGAACACTTGTAGCACCATCTTTCTACATAGGCTGAGAATTGTGGTTCTTATGTGACTTTAGGAGTTCTGAAAAAACTTCTTATTTTAAAGTGAACCCCCCTCCTTTATTTAAAACCTAAAATTCTATATTTTAAGTTTTATTCCCTTGCTTTAAGAGTTTTGTTGTACCTATTGTATTAGCATAAATTAATTTAACAAGCCCTTGCGATGGACATCCAGTAAAATTGAATTTTATTAAAAAGGTGAGAAGTGATGAGAAAAGCTTGAGGGTATAGTAGGTACACAGGAAATATTTTGAACAAAGAGAAGTGTAACCTAAAACAGAAAAACCCCTAAAGAGAAACGTTACCTACCTCACAATTGTGCCTAGGCTGGCCATGAGCATACATAAAATGAATTAAAATGCACTAGGAAGACTGGACATTTCCATCCTGAAAATACTTCTATCTTTAGCTGATAAATCTTTTAGCAATACACATAAATATTAATATGAGGCCAGACACAGTGTCTCATGCCTGTAATCCCCACAATTTGGGAGGCTGAGGCAGGAGGATTGCCTGAGCCCAGGAGTTTGAGACTAGCCTGAGCAACATGGCAAGACTCCATCTCTACAAAGAATGTTTTTTAAAAAAATAGCTGGGCAGAGTGGCATGTGCCTGAGGTCCCAACTATTTGGGACACTGTACCAAGAGAATGGCTTGAATCCAGGAGGTCAGAGCTAGAGTGAGCCATGTTTGTGTCATTGCACTCTAGCCTGGGCAACAGAGCGAGACTGTCTCAAAAAAAAAAAAAAAATATATATATATATATATGTGTATATATATATATTTATATACACACACGCTATTATATACATTAGTTATTACATACAATAGTTGTATTACCATAAATACAAGCTAATAAAATACTAAACTGATATAAAGCCATAGGAACTAGATCTCCTATAATGTTGATTTGCAAAGAAATATTGTTTC